TTAATTAAAAAACACAATTATCTTTACGCTTGTAGGCTAAGAATCAGCCCTGGGAAAACCCTCGGACACTCGGCGATTAGTTGGTGTTTTATGCCGTCTCACGTTCTGGACAAGGGGTGGGACCCTCGGGCGCCTCGTCCAGTCTGCTACATTCGCGAGGGCGCCTTGTCCAATCTGCCTATTAGTATAAGGGCGTTCAGTCAAGTCTGCCTTTAAGGGCGCCTAGTTTTGTCTGAGTGTTAGGGCGCCTAGTCCACACCAAACATTAGAATAAAGAAAATCATTTCAGTTAGTACAATACATGACATTCCAGTTAGTACAATACATGACATTACAGTTAGAACAACACATGACATTACAGTTAGTACAAGACATGACATTACAGTTAGAACAAGACATGACATTACAGTTAGAACAACACATGACATTACAGTTAGAACAACACATGACATTACAGTTAAAACAACACATGACATTACAGTTAGAACAACACATGACATTACAGTTAGTACAATACATGACATTACAGTTAGAACAAGACATGACATTACAGTTAGAACAACACATGACATTACAGTTAGAACAACACATGACATTACAGTTAGAACAACACATGACATTACACTTAGTACAAGACATGACATTACAGTTAGAACAACACATGACATTACAGTTAGAACAACACATGACATTACAGTTAGTACAATACATGACATTACAGTTAGTACAAGACATGACATTACAGTTAGTACAATACATGACATTACAGTTAGTACAAGACATGACATTACAGTTAGAACAATACATGACATTACAGTTAGTACAATACATGACATTACAGTTAGAACAAGACATGACATTACAGTTAGAACAACACATGACATTACAGTTAGAACAACACATGACATTACAGTTAGTACAAGACATGACATTACAGTTAGAACAAGACATGGCATTACAGTTAGAACAACACATGACATTACAGTTAGTACAAGACATGACATTACAGTTAGTACAATACATGACATTACAGTTAGTACAATACATGACATTACAGTTAGAACAACACATGGCATTACAGTTAGAATAATACATGACATTACAGTTAGAACAACACATGACATTACAGTTAGAACAAGACATTTCTGTTAATATATTTCAGTTGATATTTCTGTTAAAGACCCACTTGCCAACAAAACCACTAAAAATAACCCGTAGCTCGAGATTTGAATACTCTGCTCTATTGTACAAGACCATTTGGCGAACCAGTTTGCTAGTCCCTATTGCTTGGTATCCATGTTGTAACCGTTAGCTAGCTGTTGAAGTATTGTGGTATCCTTGGTCTAACCGTTAGCTAGCTGTTGAAGTATTGTGGTATCCTTGGTCTAACCGTTAGCTAGCTGTTGAAGTATTGTGGTATCCATGTTGTAACCGTTAGCTAGCTGTTGAAGTATTGTGGTATCCATGTTGTAACCGTTAGCTAGCTGTTGAAGTATTGTGGTATCCATGTTCTAACCGTTAGCTAGCTGTTGAAGTATTGTGGTACCCATGGTCTAACCGTTAGCTAGCTGTTGAAGTATTGTGGTATCCATGTTGTAACCGTTAGCTAGCTGTTGAAGTATTGTGGTACCCATGGTCTAACCGTTAGCTAGCTGTTGAAGTATTGTGGTACCCATGGTCTAACCGTTAGCTAGCTGTTGAAGTATTGTGATATCCATGGTCTAACCGTTAGCTAGCTGTTGAAGTATTGTGGTATCCATGTTGTAACCGTTAGCTAGCTGTTGAAGTATTGTGGTATCCATGTTGTAACCGTTAGCTAGCTGTTGAAGTATTGTGGTATCCATGTTGTAACCGTTAGCTAGCTGTTGAAGTATTGTGGTATCCTTGGTCTAACCGTTAGCTAGCTGTTGAAGTATTGTGGTATCCATGTTCTAACCGTTAGCTAGCTGTTGAAGTATTGTGGTATCCATGGTCTAACCGTTAGCTAGCTGTTGAAGTATTGTGGTATCCATGTTCTAACCGTTAGCTAGCTGTTGAAGTATTGTGGTATCCATGGTCTAACCGTTAGCTAGCTGTTGAAGTATTGTGGTATCCATGTTGTAACCGTTAGCTAGCTGTTGAAGTATTGTGGTATCCTTGGTCTAACCGTTAGCTAGCTGTTGAAGTATTGTGGTATCCATGGTCTAACCGTTAGCTAGCTGTTGAAGTATTGTGGTATCCATGTTGTAACCGTTAGCTAGCTGTTGAAGTATTGTGGTATCCATGGTCTAACCGTTAGCTAGCTGTTGAAGTATTGTGGTATCCATGTTCTAACCGTTAGCTAGCTGTTGAAGTATTGTGGTATCCATGGTCTAACCGTTAGCTAGCTGTTGAAGTATTTATATTTGAAACATAACGTATGCCGGCGGGTCGGGTAGCGCTATGTACTAATAAAATCACGGCTCTGGTACTGGTGCGTGGTCTTTGACTTGTTGATGAAACAAATGCTAAGATTTGCTCTGGGTTTTAATTGTCCTGATTAACTCATGCGGGAGTATCTGTTCTATCCTAGTGTTTGAGTCAGTAATTTTTTGTAAAGAATACAGATAAGTTACAAATCAAATGGGTAGAGATCTAGGAGTTACGTCCCGCTGGTCCGTTTTTTGACCTCTTAGAAACATTTCTGACGACCTAAACCAATGTTTAAGGTGGTTTAGAAAACTTTCTGACGATGTAACAAATGCTTAAGGTGGTTTAGAAAACTTTCTGACGATGTAACAAATGTTTAAGATGGTTTAGAAAACTTTCTGACGATGTAACAAATGCTTAAGGTGGTTTAGAAAACTTTCTGACGATGTAACAAATGAGCTGTCTAGACTATTGGAGTTTGAGTCTGGAAGTCGGTGATCTCATTCAAGCGGTTGTACTAAACTTACGCTAATTGTAGGCCGCATCAGATGGGGTTAGGTCTCTTTAAATTGGTCCATCAGATAGGGTTTGGTCTCTTTAAATTGGTCCATCAGATGGGGTTTGGTCTCTTTAAATTTGTCCATCAGATGGGGTTTGGTCTCTTTAAATTTGTCCATCAGATAGGGTTTGATCTCTTTAAATTGGTCCATCAGATAGGGTTTGGTCTCTTTAAATTGGTCCATCAGATAGGGTTTGGTCTCTTTAAATTTGTCCATCAGATAGGGTTTGATCTCTTTAAATTGGTCCATCAGATAGGGTTTGGTCTCTTTAAATTGGTCCATCAGATAGGGTTTGGTCTCTTTAAATTGGTCCATCAGATAGGGTTTGGTCTCTTTAAATTGGTCCATCAGATAGGGTTTGGTCTCTTTAAATTTGTCCATCAGATAGGGTTTGATCTCTTTAAATTGGTCCATCAGATAGGGTTTGGTCTCTTTAAATTTGTCCATCAGATAGGGTTTGATCTCTTTAAATTGGTCCATCAGATAGGGTTTGGTCTCTTTAAATTTGTCCATCAGATAGGGTTTGGTCTCTTTAAATTTGTCCATCAGATAGGGTTTGATCTCTTTAAATTGGTCCATCAGATAGGGTTTGGTCTCTTTAAATTTGTCCATCAGATGGGGTTTGGTCTCTTTAAATTGGTCCATCAGATAGGGTTTGATCTCTTTAAATTTGTCCATCAGATAGGGTTTGGTCTCTTTAAATTGGTCCATCAGATAGGGTTTGGTCTCTTTAAATTGGTCCATCAGATGGGGTTTGGTCTCTTTAAATTGGTCCATCAGATAGGGTTTGGTCTCTTTAAATTGGTCCATCAGATAGGGTTTGATCTCTTTAAATTTGTCCATCAGATAGGGTTTGGTCTCTTTAAATTGGTCCATCAGATAGGGTTTGGTCTCTTTAAATTGGTCCATCAGATGGGGTTTGGTCTCTTTAAATTGGTCCATCAGATAGGGTTTGGTCTCTTTAAATTGGTCCATCAGATAGGGTTTGGTCTCTTTAAATTTGTCCATCAGATAGGGTTTGGTCTCTTTAAATTGGTCCATCAGATAGGGTTTGGTCTCTTTAAATTTGTCCATCAGATAGGGTTTGGTCTCTTTAAATTGGTCCATCAGATAGGGTTTGGTCTCTTTAAATTGGTCCATCAGATGGGGTTTGGTCTCTTTAAATTGGTCCATCAGATAGGGTTTGGTCTCTTTAAATTTGTCCATCAGATAGGGTTTGATCTCTTTAAATTTGTCCATCAGATAGGGTTTGGTCTCTTTAAATTGGTCCATCAGATAGGGTTTGGTCTCTTTAAATTGGTCCATCAGATGGGGTTTGGTCTCTTTAAATTGGTCCATCAGATAGGGTTTGGTCTCTTTAAATTGGTCCATCAGATAGGGTTTGGTCTCTTTAAATTTGTCCATCAGATAGGGTTTGGTCTCTTTAAATTTGTCCATCAGATCGGGGTTTGGTCTCTTTAAATTGGTCCATCAGATAGGGTTTGATCTCTTTAAATTGGTCCATCAGATAGGGTTTGGTCTCTTTAAATTTGTCCATCAGATCGGGGTTTGGTCTCTTTAAATTGGTCCATCAGATGGGGTTTGGTCTCTCTAAATTGGGTCCATCAGATGGTCTGAATTGGGCTGGGAGAATGTTGCTAAAATTGGCCCTGGAACTTGTCTGGAAGAACACGATCAAGTTCAGGTGTGAGCAACTACCTGCACGTGTTGCTTTTTATAGACGATATGCTCACGTGTAGGTACAGGCTCCTTACTCCCTTTTCATCAACATTTACATCTAACTAATTAACCTACGATTATCTCACTAATTAACCTAAGATTATCCCGCTAATTAACCTACGATTACCCCACTAATTAATCTAAGATTATCTCACTAATTAACCTAAAATTATCCCGCTAATTAACCTACGATTTCCCCACTAATTAACCTAAGCTTATCCCGCTAATTAACCTACGATTATCCTACTAGTTAATCTAAGATTATCCCACTAATTAAGCTAAGATTATCCCACTAATTAAGCTAAGCTTGACTTATCGCCTCTGATGTTGCAGGTTATTGTTGCTGCTGCTGATTGAGATAACGCCTGTACAACCTGCGCCCAAAGTAAGTTTGTTTATCTTACATCCCCATGTTTATCTTACACCCCCAATGTAAGTTGGTTTATCTTACATCCCCAGGTTTATCTTACATCCCCAGGTTTATCTTACATCCCCAGGTTTATCTTACATCCCCAGGTTTATCTTACATCCCCCAGGTTTATCTTACATCGCCAGGTTTATCTTACATCCCCCAGGTTTATCTTACACCCCCAGGTTTATCTTACATCCCCAGGTTTATCTTACATCCCCAGGTTTATCTTACATCCCCCAGGTTTATCTTACATCGCCAGGTTTATCTTACATCCCCCATGTTTATCTTACATCCCCAGATTTATCTTACATCCCTCAGGTTTATCTTACATCCCCAGATGTATCTTACATCCCCAGGTTTATCTTACATCCCCCAGGTTTATCTTACATTCCCAGGTTTATCTTACATGCCCAGGTTTATCTTAAGTCCCAAGGTTTATCTTACATCCCACAGGTTTATCTTACATCCCCAGGTTTATCTTACGTCCCCAGGTTTATCTTACATCCCACAGGTTTATCTTACATCCCCAGGTTTATCTTACATCCCCAGGTTTATCTTACATCCCAATGTTATCTTACATCCCCAATGTAAGTTGGTTTATCTTACATCCCCAGGTTTATCTTACATCCCCAGGTTTATCTTACATCCCACAGGTTTATCTTACATCCCCCAGGTTTATCTTACATCCCCAGGTTTATCTTACATCCCCAGGTTTATCTTACATCACCAATGTAAGTTGGTTTATATTACATCCCCAGGTTTATCTTACATCCCCAATGTAAGTTGGTTTATCTTACTTCCCCTGGTTTATCCTACATCCCCAGGTTTATCTTACATCCCTAATGTAAGTTGGTTTATCTTACATCCCCAGGTTTATCTTACATCCCCAGGTTTATCTTACATCCCCCAGGTTTATCTTACATTCCCAGGTTTATCTTACATCACCAATGTAAGTTGGTTTATCTTACATCCCCAGGTTTATCTTACATCCCCCAGGTTTTTCTTACATTCCCAGGTTTATCTTACATCCCCAGGTTTATCTTACATCCCCAGGTTTATCTTACATCCCCAGGTTTATCTTACATCCCCAGGTTTATCTTACATCACCAATGTAAGTTGGTTTATCTTACATCCCCAGGTTTATCTTACATCCCCCAGGTTTTTCTTACATTCCCTGGTTTTTCTTACATCCCCAGGTTTATCTTACATCCCCAGGTTTATCTTACATCCCCAGATTTATCTTACATCCCCAGGTTTATCTTAAGTCCCAAAGTTTATCTTACATCCCCAGGTTTATCTTACATCCCCAAGGTTTATCTTACATCTCCTGGTTTTTATTACATCTTCCAGGTTTATCTTACATCCTCACTGTAAGTTGGTTTATCTTACATCCCCAGGTTTATCTTACATCCCCTGGTTTTTCTTACATCCCCAGGTTTATCTTACATCCCCAGGTTTATCTTACATCCCCCAGGTTTATCTTACATCCCCCAGGTTTATCTTACATCCTCCAGGTTTATCTTACATCCCCCAGGTTTATCTTACATCCCCCAGGTTTATCTTACATCCCCCAGGTTTATCTTACATCCCCCAGGTTTATCTTACATCCCCAGGTTTATCTTACATCCCCAGGTTTATCTTACATCCCCCAGGTTTATCTTACATCCCCCAGGTTTATCTTACATCCCCTAGGTTTATCTTACATCCCCCAGGTTTATCTTACATCCCCAGGTTTATCTTACATCCCAATCTTATCTTACACCCCCAGGTTTATCTTACACTCCCAGGTTTATCTTACATCCCCTGGTTTATCTTACATCCCCCAGGTTTATCTTACATCCCAATGTTATCTTACATCCCCCCTGTAAATAGGATTAAGGATAAAGTTGGGTACGGTAGAGAATTAAGGATAAAGTTGGACACGGTAGGATTAAGGATAAAATTTGCACACGGTAGGGTTAAGGATAGAGTTGGGCTGAGACCGTGTGTCGCACCCCCCCCTACCCCACCCCGCCATTGAACGTGTACTTGTCTACGCCGCCAAAGTGTGCAGTGACGTTGAATGCCAGTTTTGACCCCCTCCTGTTTGTTGAAGATCTGGCAATCTGACGACACTATTCACTGGTGATTAAACCCCCACCCCAACCCCCACTCCTCCTTTCCTTGCTTCGTTCAGTTTCATCTGTGGCAGAATACAAAATAAAATATCTCTGTAGGATTTCAATGCTAGCGGAAGTTGTGCACATGAATGATCTCCCCCTTATGAAAACAAACGTCACTATCGGGAAGAATAGAGTTGTCCCGCTTGTTACTCTAGTCAATCAGGGTTATGTCCCCACCACACAGGGTTGTCCCCAGTCACATAGGGTTGTCCCCAGTCACATAGGGTTGTCCCCAGTCACATAGGGTTGTCCCCAGTCACACAGGTTTGTCCCCAGTCACACAGGGTTGTCCCCAGTCACATAGGGTTGTGCTCAGTCACATAGGGTTGTCCCCAGTCACATAGGGTTGTGCCCAGTCACATATGGTTGTGCCCAGTCACACAGGGTTGTCCCCAGTCAAACACAAAAATATAGATCAATCCCTGAAATAAGGACCTGATCCCTACTTTCCCCTGAAATAAGGACCTGACCCCTACTTTCCCCTGAAATAAGGACCTGACCCCTACTTGTCCCCCTGAAACAAGGACCTGACCCCTACTTGTCCCCCTGAAATAAGGACCTGACCCCTGCTCACAAGAACTGCTCTGAGTGTACCCCACCAACGACTGAACATGACCTAACACTGTGCCCCCGCGATCCTGTGCTGGTAAATTGTATCGGATACTCCTTCCTTGTATCGGATACTCGCGCCTTTGAACTGGCCTGCTGCAGCTTAACACGAAAGGTCATGCCTGGAAGCCCCAGCTCCCCCGCCCTCCCACCCCCACGGCATGTTTCCCCGTCTCCCTGCGGCTCCCATTGTTTCAGCTCGACAACAAACGACCATGTGAAACGAAAACATACCCCGCCTGATAACGCCAGAAATTAGCCTTTCCCGCCCCGTTTTATCTACAGGGTTCGGGTTAGGGTTCGGGTTTCAGCAATTCTTCTTTAATCATTCAGAAATTCTTGGGAATCTGGGCTTACCTCCCCCGTACAGATACAGTTGTGACGTCATTGGGCAGAAATAATTCAAGACATTCATTGGGTAGCAAGTATCTAGAGGTAGCAAGTATCGAGAGGTAGCAAGTATCTAGAGGTAGCAATAATTTATAGCAAGTATCTAGAGGTAGCAATAATTTAGAGCAGCAAGACTTTAAAGCTAAACATATTTTGAATATCCCTTGATTAAATTAAATATAATTGTAGCCGGCAGATTGTAACCGTGTAACCGGCAGATTATAATATTGTAGCCGGCAGATGATACCAGTGTAACCGGCTGATTGTAACATTCCTCAGCAGCCTATCAGTGAATAGAGCGGGACGCCCCGGCGTTTGTATGGAGCCATTCATTCATGGACAGGAAAACCTCCGCTCCCCGTCAATAGCGCCACTCAATGGGATCCTTAGGCCGGCCATATCAGGGGTAAATGTTAGTAGAGGCGGCCCCGCCGGCCCTTGCTTGGCTGATCCTCTTAGCGCACAGGCAAGAGGCTGTACCGTACCGTACGTAGTTATGTCCCCTTCATGCTGGGACGGTACAGTACCATTGGTAGTTATGTCCCCTTCATGTATGGTGTGTACAGTAACATTGGTAGTTATGTCCCCTTTATGTAGGGTGTGTACAGTACCATTGGTAGTTATGTCCCCTTCATGTATGGTGTGTACAGTAACATTGGTAGTTATGTCTCCTTCATGTAGGGTATGTACAGTACCATTGGTAGTTATGTCCCCTTCATGTATGGTGTGTACAGTACCATTGGTAGTTATGTCCCCTTCATGTATGGTGTGTACAGTAACATTGGTAGTTATGTCCCCTTCATGTATGGTGTGTACAGTACCATTGGTAGTTATGTCCCCTTCATGTAGGGTATTACAGTAACATTGGTAGTTATGTCCCCTTCATGTAGAGGCAGTAACTTAAGTTAACAAGAGCTGTCGTCAACAACTGTTTGTAGGTGCAATCAATTTTTGCTGGATTCCCGTTCTAAGCTTGTATTAGCTCCCGTTGTTTCAAACAATACAAGACTTCCAGCAAGGGACGCTACCCTACCACATGACCTGATCACCTCAGCACACACCTAGGCTCACCTTTGTGGTGTGCTGTGTTATAGTTTACACACACCTGACCTTGACATTGATGGCTATCGTGTACCTGGACATCTGGTGAGCACTTGTCAGGGTCAGGGGTCAGCGTGACATTGTGTCCACTGGCCACTCAGTGGTGTGAATGAATGTGTGACATGAGCAGCGATTGGTTGGCTTTAGTCACGTGGGATTTACTGGTCTCTGTTGGTGTCTTGATGTGGGCCATGACCACTAATTAGAAAACAACTGCATCAAGGTTTCCTGAATTGGCAGGGTTCATCAGCTGACATCCCTGTTTACAGGGTCCATCTGCTGACATCCCTGTTTACAGGGACCATCTGCTGACATCCCTGTTTACAGGGTCCATCTGCTGACATCCCTGTTTACAGGGACCATCTGCTGACATCCCTGTTTACAGGGACCATCTGCTGACATCCCTGTTTACAGGGTCCATCTGCTGACATCCCTGTTTACAGGGTCCATCTGCTGACATCCCTGTTTACAGGGTCCATCTGCTGACATCCCTGTTTACAGGGTCCATCTGCTGACATCCCTGTTTACAGGGTCCATCTGCTGACATCCCTGTTTACAGGGTCCATCTGCTGACATCCCTGTTTACAGGGACCATCTGCTGACATCCCTGTTTACAGAGTCCATCTGCTGACATCCCTGTTTACAGGGACCATCTGCTGACAGCTCATTTCTGAGGGTCTATCACGTGATAGCTGGGCTGGCCCATCAACC